AAAATGACATTTGTTGCATCAAGGCTACGGATGGCCGGCCACCCTATTCCTGTGGTACAACAAATTTTTTTTTTAATTATTTATAGAAGATATTTTGTATAAAATAGTTTGATAATAGGTATTTAGTACGATGGATATTAAAATAATACAATAAAAGATTGAAAATACAATAATATAAAAAGATAGGGACCAAAACTAAAATTGTGAAAAAATAAAAATTATTATTAATATATCATTATTAGAAAATAAATAAAATATTTAATTCGGGTCCGTCAAATTAAATTACAAAGAAAGGCAAGAAATTAAGAAAAAACAACGGAATTAAAATAATACAATAAAAGATTGAAAATACAATAATATAAAAAGATAGGGACAAAATCTAAAATTGTGAAAAAATAAAATTTATTATTAATATATCATTATTAGAAAATAAATAAAATATTTAATTCGGGTCCGTCAAATTAAATTACAAAGAAAGGTGAGAAACTAAGCAAAAACAACGGAATTAAGATTTTTAAGCGATTAATCTATAATTAGGGTGACCCAAAAATTAATATAGAAGTATTAAAAAAATGATTTCTAAGTTATCGGGGATGATTAGAGTTAATCAAATACACCCACGATGCGCTGGAGTTCTAGGGTTAAATTTGCGAGAAAACGATAAATTCAGGGGTCTTATTGAAATAACTTCTAACATTAGGAATTCAAAGATAATTAGGAAAATTGGGGTCTCACAATCCTAGTTGTTTATATATAACTTTTTCTAGTTCTATTCTATTATTACTTCTTTCTTCATCTACTTTCTCTAATTGTTCAGTTATTTCTAATATTATTTTATATTTTATTTTGCCGTCTTTTTCTTTTTCAAACATCTCTTCCAACTGTTCTAGATTATATTTACTTAACTCCATCATTTTTGTTTGGTTTTCAGGTGAAACTAATTCAAATGGTTTTTCTGAGTTATTTCCTTTATATGGGTAAGAATATAAATCTAATTCTTTCTGTTTTTCTTCAAAAATAGCTATTTATTTTTCTACATTTTGTGTTAAATGTTTAAGTTCGTTTATTATTTCTAATTGATTATTTTTAAGTTTTTCGATAATTTCTTTTAATAGCCTAATTAAGGTATTGTTTTGTTCTATTATTATTTGTAAAAAAATATTATTATTTAAGTTATCAGATTATACTTCTTCACTATATTTGATACTCATGCAAATGTTATTGGCAAGGTTGAGAAATAGAACTCTGATACCAATTTCAATTGCGGATTTGTAGATTTTAGTTTAATATTAATTCTTGCAAAAACTTTTGTTGATAATCTATACTTGCCTTTTTTATGGTTATTTTGTCTTTAATACTAGCAATTCTTTAGTTATAATTTATTATAGATTGTCTAGAAGGAATAGCCAAAAGCAAATTTAATTTATTTAACTTATTTTCTAATTCATAAATATAATCTAAATTATTTTTATTTCAACTTTATGCGCCGTAATTAAATGCATATAATTATTACTTTTGAAAATTTTATACTCATATAAATTTTTTAAAATATTTTTTATGTTTTTTTATAATTTTTTAATTTTATAGGAGTCTAATAATTGAAACTTGATGATGAGTGCGTTGGATGATGTGGAGTGAGGTGTGTGAGATGTATGCACCAACTGTATTTGGGCCAGATCGGGCTACACCTTTTTGTGTCCATAAAGAATTTCTGTTTTTCTATTTCTATTTCGTTTTTTGGTTCCAATTCGCATTTAAAAAATAAAAATAAAAATAAAAAATAACAAACAAACAAACAAATTCTATCATCTTTTCCAGAGTTACTTGAAATAACGCAAACCTCCCCTGTCAATTTTTTATTTTTTATTTTTAGTTAACAGAGTTAACACAACACGGTCTTTACATTTTGGGGGAATTACATCATTGGGACAGAGGGTTTTTTGTTTTTTTTTTACATGTAAGACCATTTTCAACCCTGAACCAAACCTGTCATTAAATTTAAAATTTGGTGAAAAAATCACTTTTTCATACTCCAACGGTTTCACCAAACCGGTATCAAATTTAGAATTCATCAAACAAATCATCAAAGTGAGAACAGGCTCCGCATTTCACCAAAACACTGTACATGACCGTTGGGGAAGACGAACTGGTCGACCAGCCGGTTGACCAACCGGTTGACCATAAAAGGGTTCAAACAATTCCAAAAAAAAGTTCAAACAGTTAAAAAAAAATTTCCCTTACCGGTCGACCAACCGGTCAACCACCACAGGGTTCAAACAGTTCAAAAAAATTGGTTCAAACAGTTCAAAAAAAAAATTCCCTTACCTGTCGACCAACCGGTCAACCACCACAGGGTTCAAACAGTTCAAAAAAATTGGTTCAGGGTTCAAACAGTTCAAAAAAATTGGTTCAAACAGTTCAAAAAAAAAAATTCCTCTTACCGGTCGACCAACCGATTGCCCTAAAACAAATTTGATAAAAAGTAAAAGGTTGAAGCCAGTGGTATCAAATTGAGGAAATCATCTTTTTTTTCATTTGATGACAAAAGAAATTCAGATTGGAGATGCTCTAACTCACTACCGCACACCAACCTTTCCCCATGATAACCATCCCCAATTCTAAGCTCCATTTTCAGACCCAACGGATTAAAGAAAACCCCCACCTACTCCTCATTTTCCTCTCTTCCCTGATTTCGGTGCTTCTCTCTCCCCCCAATTTCTCTTCCTCGTAGATAGTCGAAGAAATCATAAAATCAATTGGGATTTTGTTCACCAGTACAGTACAGTACAGCCCTTATCAATTCTCGAATTTCTTCTCTGAAGCAAATATGATTTCAATTAATGGTGATTTCGTTATGCATTTCGTTTCCATATTGAAAGGTATGTTGACCTTGATATCTCGTTTCCAATGCTGGGTGTATTGTGTCATCCAGATGTTAAAAAAATTATAATATGAGAAGAATGATTTTTCTCTAATTAGTTTTTAAATTATATGAACAAAATTGTGAGAGAGAGGGAAGAAAAGAAGTAGTGGAGTGGGTAACTCCACTCTTGGCCTTTGAAATTTACAATTATAATTTTTTTTGATTAATTGAAAGGGTTAAATAATATGAAATTATGTAATTCTTGTAGGGGCATTTTGGGAAATTAGATTGTGAGACACTTTTTGTCAACACCAACGTAGGTGTTATATATATATATATATATATATCAGGAATTCTATAGTAACGCCTCGTTTGGGAACCCTCTCTTTTAGCTAAAAAGTCAAAAAGTTATTAAATTAGCTAAAAAGCTAACAACTCATACCAAAAAGTCAAAGATTCTCTTTTCTCTCTACTTTTTGCACATCTTTTCGTAAAAAGCCAAAAAGTCATCCCAAACATACTAGTTTTTTTTAGCTCATATTTTAGCCAAATAACCAAAAAGTTACTAAATTAGCCTGTTCCCAAACGAGGCCTAAATGACCCAAAAAAAATGTACCATATGCTTCCATTATGACTTTTTGCGATTTTTTTTTTTTTTGGTTATAATATATTATGGTGTTGATTATATCTTGATTTAACAAATTACGGTTGTTATTTTGATTATAACAAAATAATTTTTTGATTATACCTTAAGGACATGTTTGATTGGGTAGATTAGAGTATGGGATTGAGATTATTAATCCGTGGGTCCAATTATCCTATGTTTGTTTTAACATTTTAGTTTAGGATTATTAATCCAATGGATAATTAATCCAATAAATTTGTAGGATTATTAGTAATGGGGTAGGGGTGAGATTATTAATCCAATGGATATTAATCCAATTGGATAGTGAATATCACACTAATTTAATAGGATTATTAATACTTCACTATTAGTCTTGTGAATCAAACATGACCTAAGTGTTGTTGATTATGACTAACTTATGAATTATTATGTTTGTTATTTTAATTATGATTGAAGAAGTCTTTAATTGTGTTTTGAATAATATTTGATTATGATTCATTATGGTTGCTTTGTTCTATTATTTTAAATTTTTATATGTTGTTTTTGAAGAGAAGGTATATTTTTCTCTTGACAAATATATATACATATTCTCTCTTTTTTTTTTGTTTTTGTTTTTATTTTTTTTCCATTTTCTTTTTTTGGTTCCAAATTTCTTTTTTATTATTTAAAAAAGGGTACAACAAATCTCTATCATCTACCACCATGGTAGTGATATGAATTGATTTAAAATCATATAGGATTCGAATACTTTAATTGGGTTCTATTTTTTAAAACTTGCTTTTGCAGAGAAGGTGCAAGCAAGAGAGGGACAGGGGGCCAATGAAAGGAGACGCCTTTATTGGCTTCTTCTTCTCACAAAAATAAAGCCATTTTTGAGACTGCTAAAGCTTTTTTTCACTGAAGAAAACTCAGCAACCTCTCTTTGCTTTCCTTCTGATCTGTTTCTTTTTGTCCTTCTATAATCAGAAACAATGCCTATAGCACATCAAATTGTTGTTTGAGAAGTTGAACTCTATACCCTCATCGAAATTACAGAACTTTGAAGGTATTGATACACAGCTGACAAAATGGATCAATATGCTGTCGCAAATTGAAGCTGTTCTGATTGACGCGGAGGAGAAGCAAATGACAGATCGAGCCGTGAACCTGTGGCTCGACGATCTCCATGATTTGGCATATGATTTGGATGATGTCGTGGATGAGTTCTCCACCGAAGTTTTGCGATAGAAGCTCAAGGGAAAGCTGCCCCAAGCTAGTTCCAACAAGGTATGGAACCCCATCCCTAATTTCAAGCCAAGAGACATTGGGCTTGTTTGGTTTGTTTTTGGGAGAGTTGTTTTTGAAAAAAAAGTTGGAGAGAGAGTTTAGAAATTTTTTTAGTTTGTTTGGTTGTATATTTTGGGAGAGTTGTTTTTTGGGGAGTTTGGGATGATTTGATATTTTGAGAGAATTTGAGTAGATGTGTGTGAGAGAAAAAGTGATTGAGAATGAGAGAGGAGAGAGAAAAAGTGATTGATTGATGTGTAAGAGAGAGAAAGTGATTTTAAAATTTTTTTGAGAAAAACTCAAATCAAACAATTTTTTAGAAATTTTTTTCTAAAACTCATCTCCCAAATGCAAACCAAACATACCCATTATGTTTAATTTCAAAAAGAGGTCCAAGATTGAGGAGATCACTACTAGATTACGCAATCGTTTTGAACAATGTTCGCAACTTAATTTGGTTAAGATTGTTGGAACCACATCCGGTAAGATTTGGCAAAGACCAGAGTCTACTTCTTCATTATCTGAACCTCGCATTTATGGAAGAGAAAAGGATCAGAGAAAGATAATTGAGTTGCTTACAGGGGCGGATGAATCAAGTCATAACAACGTTGGCATAATTCCCATTGTAGGTATGGGTGGGATTGGCAAGACCACCCTGGCATAGATGGTATACAACAATGAAACTGTGAAGAAGCATTTCAATTTGAAAGCTTGGGTCTGTGTGTCAGATGAGTTCGACATTATGAGAATAACAAAATTTGCAAACATGTAGTTTTCATGGCTTAGATCAAGTTCAAGTTCAACTAAAGCAGGCTTTGGCAGGAAAGAAATTCTTAATCGTTTTAGATGATGTTTGGAACAAAAAATACAGCGATTGGAAATGTTTTGAAGAGCCCTTTCAGTGATGGAGCCCAAGGAAGTAAAGTCGTGGTGACAACACGTAATAGAGATGTTGCAAGAATGATGGGTGCTATTGAACTTCATGACATTGAGGTCCTATCGGATGATGATTGTTGGTTGTTGTTTTGCACAACATGCGTTTGAGAGTAGAAGTATTGATGCAAATCTAAATTTGGTATCAATTGGTAAGAAAATTGTGGAGAAATGTAAAGGTTTGCCTCTGGCTGTTATGACACTTGGTGGCCTTTTACGGTGCAAAGAATGAGATGAGGAATGGGTACATGTATTGCGTAGTAAAATATGGGATTTACCACATGAAGAAAGTGACATCCTTCCTGCTTTGAGATTAAGCTATCATCATCTCCCTCCGCATTTGAAGCAGTGTTTTGCTTACTGCTCAATAATACTATGAATTTGAGGAGGAGGAGCTAGTCTTGTTGTGGATGGCAGAGGGTTTCATTCAGCAACAACGAGAGAAGCAAATGGAAGATGTAGGAGGTGAGTACTTTCGGGAATTGTCGTCAAGGTCGTTTTTCCAATCATCAAGTACTGGTAAAAGCTCTAAATTCGTGATGCATGACCTCATCAATGATTTGGCCCAAGTAGTTGCAAGAGGTACTTGTTTTAGACTAGATGATAAATTGAAAGATCAGGAGCAGCACATAAATCTAAAGAAAGCTCGACATTCATCTTACATGCAGAAGCTTTGGCAATGTATGGAAGATTTTGAGATCTTCTACAAAGCCATGCATTTGCGGACCCTTTTACCATTTTTAATACCAAGTTATTCGCAATCTCTTGTGTCAAACAATGTTGCCCTTAATCTATTGTCGAAGCTACGATGCTTAAGGGTGCTCAGTATGAGTAAATATTGTATAAGTGAACTTCCAAATTCAGTTGGATATCTGAAACATCTGCGGTACCTTAACCTTTCCTACACCCTTATTGAAGAATTACCCAAATCATTAGGGTCTCTGTACAATCTACAAACATCGATGTTAAGAGGATGTCAAAATTTGAAAAAGTTGCCTATAGATATGGAAAACCTAATTGACCTACGTCATCTCGATATTACAAATGCAGATTCCTTGGAAGAAATTCCATTGGGGATAGGTAAGTTAACTAGTCTTGTAACACTATCCAATTTTATTGTTACTAAAAACAATGGGTTTCGGATAAGAGAGTTAGGGAACTTAATTTATCTTCGAGGGGAGCTTTCCCTATCTGGGTTACAGAACGTGGTGGATCCTCTAGATGCAAGAGAGGCAAATTTAATTAATAAGGAAGGCTTGAAAGTGTTATCAATGGAATGCAGTGTGGGCTTAGATGAATCACAAGATAGAAGAGTTGAAACAGAAGTGCTCGACATGCTACGACCTCACAAGAACTTAGAAGAGCTCCACATAAAATGCTACCTTGGTACAGGATTTCCGACCTGGATAGGAGATCCTCTGTTCTCCAATGTTGTGCATAAGTTTACAAAATTGCAAAAAATGTGTTTCCTTACCGCCACTTGGACAATTACCCTTGCTTAAAAACCTTTGTATTGAAGGAATGAGTGCATTAAAGCATGTCAGCTGTGAGTTCTATGGGCAGTGTAGTACCAAACCTTTTCCGTTACTAGAGACTCTAAGCTTTAAGAACATGCCTGAATGGGAGGAATGGTATACTTTTCGAGATTGTAAGGAAGTTCTACCATTCAATCGTGTTTGTAAGCTTGCCATCGAAAATTGTCCCAAACTTCTCAGAATGTTGTCCTGTAAACTACCTTGTTTGAAAAATCTAGAGATTACGGAATGCCCGCAATTGTTAGTTGAAGCTTCCACCATTTTCTTCCCATCACTCGCCTCCATAGTTATGAAGGACGTTTCTCTCACAAGCCTTCTAGTCCTTGAGATGAGGAACATGGTTGAAGATGACGTGATGTTGGCAAATGCGAGTTCAGTTACTTCCCTGAGCATTGGGATAATTAAGAAACTCGAGCTCTTGCCGAAATGGTTTACTCATGGGCTGATGAAACTTGAAGAATTGAACATTACTAGTTGTAAAGAACTCAAGGCATTGTGGAAGAATGACGCAAGATTGCAACACAGTCACCCTGCATTCCGAAGTTTGGAAATTAATGGCTGCCCCCAGCTTTTTTCATTGCTTGAAGAAGATGAGTATGAAGAAAACGAAGGGCAACATCAACAACAACAAGAGGGACTCTCTTGCATAGTGAGGCTTGATCATATAAAAATAGATAATTGTGAAAAGCTGGAGAAACTGGCACGGCGGCTGCATACCTTCAATTTTCTTCGAGAGTTGCATGTCTATCAATGTTCAAGTCTCAGCTCTTTTCCAGAGGTAGGCTTTCCGTCCATGCTGATAAAACTCGTGATACGTGATTGTAAGGCTTTGCAATCCATATTCGGGTGGATAAAGCAGATTAATGATAATAACCTTGAAGTGTTAGAGGTTCGTGATTGTCCATCCCTTACATGCTTGATATCGTGCAGAGGTGGGTAACTACCACCCACACTCAAAAAGGTTGAGATTTTGGACTATAAAAAGTTGGAGGCACTGCTAGTAGAGGAGGGGATGAAAATTAACTGTCCAGCTCTGGAGTATTTTGCGATCTGGTATTGTGATGGGCTCAAATACTTGCCAGATGCCCTTCCTAATGATAATAATCTCAGGAATCTCATTCGATTGATGGTACATGGGTGTAAGAATTTGGAGTCCATTCCGGACGGATGGTTCCACTCCGCAACAAATCTGAGAATTTTGGCTATCTCCCATAGTAAAAAACTGAAGGCCTTGCCGCTCTTGCCACACCAATTGCAGACCATCAACTACCTCACTTCTCTTCATTGGCTGCAAATGAATATTTCACATTGGAACAACAACGTCAAGCAGATTGGTTGGCACAATTTACCCAGTCTTAGCTCATTGTTGATCACAAGCCCAATTAGTGTGGTAGGGGAAGAAGAAGAAGGTCGGGCAGGGTCCAACATTTCGATAGATGAGATGTTGCTGCCCGCCTCTCTGATTGATCTTCGTATCCATGAATTTCCAAATCTAAAGAAGCTATCTTCTAAAGTGTTTCAAAACCTTTCCTCTCTTCAATTTCTTACTATCACTGATTGCCCTAGGCTCGAATCTATTCCAGTGAAAAGCCTGTCTCTGTCACTTCTGAGATTGTGGATTCAGAAAAGTCCGAGACTAGCAAGGAAGTGTGAAAAGGGAAAAGGCCAATATTGGCCCCACTTAGCTTACCATGCTGATGTCCAAGTTGTTAACGAGTGATAAGCTCTGTGGAGATTTCCACAGCAATACCAACAGTCAAATTGCTAGGTACTCCCATATCACAATTTATTATAAACTAGTTTGGTTGAGGTTTCAAATTTTGTTTTTTATTTTTTTCGAAAAATATAAACTACTTTGATAGCAATAACCCTTTTTAAAAAATAGGCTTTGTTTGGTTTGTGTTTTAGAATTTTTTTTCAAAAAATGAAAACTAGTTTGATAAAAGTAAATATCAAAAATATAATTTTAAATTTTTAAAAATTATTTCTGGCCTCTTAAAAGATAAAATTATATAAAAATGATAAGCGTTTTTTATTTCTTTCACCAAATTAATTTTTAGTTTTTTAGAAAAAAAATTCTAAAACAAGTTTCTGAAAACTAAACTAAACATGACCATACTTTTTCCCAAACCGAGCTAATCATATGAAAAAGGATGAGTGTTGATTATTATTATTTTTTATTATGGATTTTTAAAAAATTCAACCAAACAGTATAATTGATAGTCAAGACTTCCAGCCTTCATAATTTTTAATGTCTTTTTGCTTATTGATTTTTAGCAAATTTTTCTGATGAAGGATGGCTATGCATGACAGTGTATTTTAAGAGTTCATTATGAGGTTCTATTTCTCTGTTTTCGGCTCTTCCCATGCTTAATGTAAGTAAAAAATCTAACTTTGTTTCTCAAATATTCTTTATTTCTTTCTTTTATTTTCTAAAATCGCTTCTCAACCTATGAAATTGAACTCTTAAAATAGAACCATCTGTGAAGTTTGTCAATTTATCAGAATTCTTGATTTCATTTATTAGTTAAACTTTTCATTGAATAGTTTTTGCCATTAGCATTTTGTTGATTGGAGTCTAACGGGTTTGAAATATGTTCTGCTTCAAATTCTGCATATAAATCAATGTTGAAAAATTGACTACATTTAATGTTTTGGGCATCATATAGATATATGTATATATTCAAGAGCAATTATGTACTTGATAATTATTTAGCAATGTCAAAGTATCAAGTGACATTGTTCATACTATGCTTTCAATCAATGATGTACAGGTGCAATAATGCTGATCCACCTTTGTTAAGTAGTGACAAGGGATGGCCCACCATAGTTGTTTTTTAATTTCTCATATGTTGGGAGTACCATATAAATAATGTGACATGATAGTCTGAGGCCACCTAATAATTTTTGGGGAACCACATGCAGGTAGGAAAAGGGAAAAAAAATAACAAACACATGGGGTGTAAATGAAAAGTTGTGGAGACTTGCACCCCTCCATGTATTGGTATTTTTTTTTTCTCTTCTCCCACCTGCATATAGTTTCCCATAATTTTCCTAATGCACCACCCACATAGTGAAAACTAAGGCAGCACGAGGACTCAAAAAATTGAGAACCAAACAAACCCGACTTTATGGGGTTGGGTTGGTTCGGGTTTTGCAATCCTTTGATTTAGTTTTGGGTAGATCTAATAGGATTGATTCAACTCTTCATTTAGGGCTTACTTAAACAAAATAAACCCGAGACCCAATACATATGTATATATTACATAAAATTATTTTTATGTTGAGTTGTTTTTGTTGGAGAAAACTGATTCTATGAATAATTGATAAAGTGTTAAAACAGTAACAATATGGCTGAAAGCTTCAAGCTAATTTTATTGAATTGAATTGAATGAAAGAATACTACTTAAATAAGAGTGGCAAAGCTACATCTGCAAGCAACTACAATGTCACTTAGCAGATTTTGCAGAACTAAACCCTTTATTACTTGAATTAGTTATACACACCAACCATGACTCCTACAAACTAGGGATTCTCCTATAGACTAGGGACTACCAATCTCCTAGCTATAGATAATAGTATTTATTAAAATAAAAACTTAAAATTAAATCTTAACACCCTCCCTTAAACTGATTTTTGCAGAAAACAGTTTAGAATTCAAACATCATTTTAGCAACTCTTTTTTTTTGTGTATCAGCAACAATGCAACCAGCTTCTGCTGATGAACAAACTCCAAGTATGCTTCTGAGCTTCTCAAACACTGGTTGTTTGAGAGGTTTGGTTAAGATATAAGCTGCTTGATCTCCACTCTTGCAAAACTCTAACTCAATCACACCATCTTTGCAAAGATCACGCAAGAAATGATAACGACCATCTATATGCTTGCTTCTCCCATGCATAACTGGATTTCTGGAAAGCTTAATGGCAGAAACATTATCACAAAAGATTGTTGTTGGGCCTTGCTGCTGATGACCAAGGACTTCAAGCATTCTTCTCAGCCAGATAGATTGACTGGAACATGAAGCAGCGGCTACAAACTCTGCTTCAATTGTCGAAAGTGTCACAATCTGCTGCTTCTTTGATGACCATAAAACAGCACCTGAGCTCATCAAGAACACATTACTAGAACTGCTTTTTCGATCATCAATATCACCTACATAATCACTGTCAGTAAAACCAAAGAAACTTTGTTTTTCACCCCTTTTGTAAAGAATTCCAAAATCAGATGTGCCCTTTAAGTATTGAAATATTCTTTTTGCTGCCTTGAGATGCATCTCAGTGGGATTCTCCATATAGCGACTAATTAAGCTAACAGCGTGCATGATGGCAGGCCTTGTTGAAATTAGATACATCAAACTTCCAACAATTTGCTTGAAAAATGTGTTGTCAATTCTTTCTCCATCAGTATCTCTAGTCAGCTTTAGTCCTATTTCAGTCGGTGTTCCAACTGGATTGCATTTCAGCATTTGAAACCTCTCCAGAACTTCCTGGACATATTTCTTTTGAGAAACAAAATTACCAGCTGCTGATTGTACTACTTTTATGCCAAGAAAGTAGGGCATCAGTCCTAAATCAGTCATATCAAACTCATTCATCATAGACCTTTTAAAATTATCATACATATCAACACCACTTCCTGTGTAAATCAGATCATCAACATATAAACACACGATGAGGATTTTACCTTCATCATCAACCTTAATATACAATGTATGTTCATATGGGCACTTTTTGAAGCCTTGCTTGACAAAGTAAGCATCTATGCAGCTGTACCAAGCTCGTGGTGCTTGCTTCAACCCATAGAGTACCTTATTCAATCTATACACCTTCTCTTCATTGCCTTGCTGAACGTAGCCTGGAGGTTGATCTACATATACTTGTTCTTCCAATTTACCATGTAAAAATGCAGACTTTACATCTAATTGAAAAATAGGCCAAGAGTTTTGAGCAGCTAAAGAGATTACTAATCGAATTGTGTCAAGCCTTGCAATTGGAGCAAACACCTCATTGTAATCAACACCATACTCTTGCTTGTATCCATTTGCCACCAGATGAGCCTTGTGCTTGTCTATCTCACCCTTCTCATTCAACTTGGTTTTCAAAAATCCATTTCACACCAATAGTTTTCTGTCCTTTTGGCAAGTCAGTTAGCTCCCATGTATTATTTTTCTCTATGGATTTGATCTCAACATTCATTGCCTTTTCCCATTTAGTGTCCTTAACTTCTTCCTCAAATGTGATAGGGATCAAAATCTGCAAGCAATGCAAAGTGAGCAGTAATATTATCATCAGAGAGTTCATCCCCACTTACATAGTCAATCATCCAAGCTGGTCTTTTCCTTAGACGTTGATTCTCAGGTGGCTGCTCATTTGTTGGAGGCAGCTGCTCATTTGTTGGTGTAGTCGCTGAAGAACTGGGCAAGTGTTCATCAAAGGTGCATTTCAATCCTATTCTCTGTATCATCAAAATCAACTGGAATTTGCTTCAATTCCTTGCCTTTTCCAATCCAATACCACATCTTTTCTTCATCAAAAACGACATCCCAGCTAATAACAATCTTCTTGGTGATGGGATTATACAACTTGTAGGCCTTTGAATTAATGTTCACCAACACCAAGAAAAATACAATTTTCTCTTTTGTCATCGAGCTTCTTCCTTTTTTCATCGGGAATGTAAGCATATGCTATGCATCCGAAAATTTTGAAATGATCAACGAATGGTCTGCGCCCAGCACATGCTTCTTCGGGTGTCATGTTTCGGACAGCTAGTGTGGGACTTCTATTCAATAAGTGAATGCCCAAATTGACTGCTTCAGGCCAAAAACTCCTTCGAACGCTTGTTCTTGCTAACATACTTCACACCATGTTTAAGATTGTACGATTTTTCCTCTCGGACACACCATTTTGCTGTGGTGTATAGGCTGCAGTCAGTTGCCTTTTGATTCCATGTTCCTCACAAAGATTTGCAAATTCTCATGAGTTGTATTCTCCACCACGATCGGTTCGAAGAGTTTGAATAACTCTCCCAACTTCTTTCTCAACCAGGGCCTTGTAACTTTTAAATGCTGAAAAAGCTTCAGATTTTTGCTGCAAAAAATATACCCATGTTTTCCGACTATAATCATCAATAAATGTAATAAAATACCTCTTATTACCATTGGACATCGGATTTATGGGTCCACAAATGTCGGAATGGACTAGCTTCGGCGTTTTTGTAGCTCTCCTTGCCTTCCCTTTTGGACAATGATTATGATGTTGCTTGCCAACAACACTCTTCACAAACTTTGGATGGAGGAGTGATCATAGGGAGGCCTATCACCATCTACTTCTGATGAAGTGTTTTTAGCCCATTAAAGTTCAAATGGTCATAGCGAAAATGCCAAAGCCATGATGGATCATTCTCTTTAGCCAACAAGCAAGCCTGGACAATCTTGATTTTCAATAGGAACAACCTGTTTGATGTCATCTGAACAACAACAATAGAACTCCTTGCTGGATCACATATCTCACATGCACCTTTCTGAATTGTTATAATATAACCCTTATCTTGCAATTGGCCAGCACTCAACAGATTAGTTTTCAGATTAGGAACATAAAAAACATTCGAAATTGTTTCAACAAAATCAATCTTAGTTCGAATATGAATATCTCCATTTCCCATCACATTTACAGTAGACAATCACAAAAACTTATAGTAGTATGAAAGTCTTCATTTAAAGATGAGAAAGAAGACTTACTAGCACTTATATGATTGCTACAACTTGTGCCGACATACCATACATCAAGCTCAGGGTCCTCCTTAGCATGAAAGGCCATCAAAAGTGTTTATTCTTCCCTTTCCTCAACAAAGTTCGACTTCTCTCATATTTCTTTGTCTTTTGGCATCTTTGTGTTGCACTCATTGTTGTAATGCCCATGATTTCCACACCTACAACACTCAATCTTGGACTTGTCCACCTGTCCTCTTCTTTTATTCTAAAACTCGAAGTGATCCTCATCTCTTCCGAAATACTCGTGTTGTCTGCTTCCATCTCGGTTGCCTCGAGCACTTCTTCTACGTTCTCTACCTCTACCTTATCCTCTTCCTCTTGAGCTTGTGGATTCAGCAAAGGTAGAAGCTTTCAAAGCTTGCTCTTCTAGGGTGCATCGATTCAGCCTCTGTTCATTGACTAGCAAGGAGCTTTGCGGTTCATCAATTGACATTTCATCAATGTCATTAAACTCTTCAATAGAGCACACATAATCGAATTTTGGAGCCATAGATCTCAGGATCTTCTCAACAACAGCACCATCTTTAATCTTATCACCATGGATTCGCATTTTGTTTGCTATATTAACTGATTCTCCATTTTTCATTTGAAGAGTCTCAAAATCTCTTCTTATGGCTTGAAGTTGTGCTGGCTTCACTCTTGCTGAGCCCTGGTACTTTTGTTTCATGGAGTCCCAAATGTTTTTGGATGTATCCTTTTGGAGAATGGTCTCCAAAATTGCACAATCAATAGCCTGGAACAAGTTCTTCTTCACCTTCATATCTTTCAGCTTCTGATAATCAAGTTTCTTTTGTTGTGGCTGTATCAGTACTACTCCTTCTGGCTCAACGAATCCCATTTCCACAAGATCCCAATACTCTTTGGACCTTAGGAAATTTTCCATCAACATGCTCCAATGATCATAGTGACCATCAAAGCGAGGTATGACTGGCTGGACAAAATTCTCTACTGATTTGTCAGTCGCCATGAATGCTTGTTGCTGCAAGAGGCAAAAGCTGTTGCTTGTTTGAGAATTTTTTTTTCTTTTTCTATTAGGCCAGTTATGGCTCTGATACCAGATGTTGGAGAAAACTAATTCTATGAATAATTGCTAAAGTGTTAAAACAATAGCAATATGGCTGAAAGCTTCAAGCTGATTTTATTGAATTGAATGAAGGAATACAACTTAAATAAGAGCCGCAAAGTTACATCTGCAAGCAACCACAATGTCTTAGCAGATTTTGTGGAACTAAACCCTTGATTACATGAATTGGCTATACACACCAACCATGACTCCTACAAATACGGATTCTCCTATAGACTAGGTAATACCAATCTCCTAGCTATAGATAATAGTAAAACTTAAAATTACTTAGGTAAACATTGCTGATTATACCATGTAAGAGAAAAATTATGACAAATCATACTCATTCGTTGGTTTTTGTTATCGTATACTTGTATTTAAACAATATGAATGATTGTTTCTAATTGTTGGCTTGTATTATAATTTGAAACTTTGTTTTGTTTTTCTTTGTGTTTTATGTTAGAATGTCCAAGATGATATGCTAGAATGTCCAAGATGATATGCTATAGCTTCCTTGGAGTATTGAAGTCAAAATAATGGATATATTGTTTATGATTGTTGATGTATTAAAATTTGGAACAAAATCTTTTTCTTTTTTTTTCTATGTTTTTTTATGTAATGTGAGTTTTGGTTTTTGTTTATATGAGTTAAAACAATGGATGATTGTTTTTGGTTGTTGGCTTGTATTAAGATTTCAAACGTTGTTTTAGTTTTAGTTTTTTTCTATGTTATTTAAGTTTTGGTTTTATTTGGTTTGATTTGATTATGTAAGTTAAAACATTGGTTAATCGTTTATCATTGTTGGCTTGTATTAAAATGTAAAACAATGTTTATGGTTGATTGTTTATGACAACAATCTTGAGGGAGTCTTATGTAATTAATTTTTTAAGGCAAAAATCACTTTACCCTTTTTTGTGGTATTGGCTATATGTACATAATCTTGCCATCATTTAAAAATAATTACTGAATAAGAAAAAGGTATTTAAGTTAATTTATTGGCTAATGAAAGTTAGTGATGAGTTTTAATTCACAAATCATAAAGAGTTCAAATGAGTTAGCTTTTGATGAGGTTTGGGAACTTACTATTATGTTAGAGGATTTATTTTTTAGCAAATGAGGGCTTAGTCAGTTAAGGCTTTGTTGCCTTGTTAAGGGGCTGTGGTTGTTTTTGCAAATGGAGGTTTTGGGCTGATGCCTTGCAGGTGTTTTGTTTCTGTTTTGTTTTGGGTGTTGATGTTACCCCTCTTTTTTATTTTATTTTTGATAAATTTCACTTTATTCTATTGTGGGTGTTGATACCATTAAAGGTGCTTGACACAGGGTTTAGCTAAGCACGTCTGTCAACAACTTACGAGATCAAATGACCTAACCGCAATCACAGCTAATGGTCTAACTCTACGCGACTTAGGTAACGTTCCACTTAACCTCACACCATTCTACCCTTCAACAACACAAACCCAAGAATACTACTAGCCATAGTTTTATTTTATTTTATCTTAATTATGCCATATATGGTCTCATGATTTTACTGTAGAGGAGGTGGAGGCCTACCGGCGGCAGCCCACACAACTATATGTTCCTGTATTTGAGATTGGATTTTCTCAATTTGTTGATTACTGTATTCTAATTGCTGGAGGCCCCAAGGATCATTAGGGAAAGTAGTAAGAAAATTTAGATAATTATTTTTTCTTTGAATATGAAAATCTAAAACTTCATGCAAAATAACAAGTATATCAACAGAACTCATACATTAGAAAAGATGAAAGAGAATACTTACAATCAGTACTTCAAACTTTTATTATACTTCAAAAGGAAAGAAGGAGTACACACTTTTAGAGGAGGAGATAGAGAGTACAACGCACACTTATAAACTATAAACTGAAATTATTATACTTACAACTCTTGCCTTCAACAAAGGTGAGGCATCCCTTATATAGAAAATAAAAAGAACAAGATAAGGATGAGGAAGACAGGTGGCGTGTCCTGGTTAGTTTGGAGTCGATTGTCCTTATCTCCTTGAGATTTCCCTTATCTTCAAATGTCGGCAAGGGACAGCTGGTTAGCCAGCTGTTATGGTGGCAGACAAAGGCTAAACTTTTGCCGAAAGTAACTTTGTCGTCACATGCTGCTGGAAAGTTATGCTGGAGTGGAGGACAAAGAATCAAATCATTTTTCTTTTCTTTTTCCTTTTCTGTCTTTTTCCTGGCTCATCTTTTAAGCAATTAAGCCAGTCAAAGAATCCCAAAAATCACCCATGTTTGGCTCTTCTGGTTCTTGGGATTCTCCCGCTAATACTGTAAATTCATTTTCATCCAAAAGAGGATCAAAATGCTCGTCTTCTGGATCACCATGACAACTGGAACCAGACTTCATGCTGGTATCATCTCTAGAAAGTGATTGCAAGAATTGTTCCTTCATAAAATCCATACTTTTAATGATTAATTCTTGCTCTGATAGTTTTGGATATTTTTGTTTTAATTCATTTTGAATCTGGACAAAAGGATTCTGATTCTGAACTAGAGTAGCTGGGAGTAATTTTGGAGAGGCATCCCAGCAAGCCTGAGTGTGGGCTTTAATTTTCTGTAAAATGTCCTTCTGCTGTTGGGGAGTGTCGAAAACTCTTTTCAAACGTGGAACTTTATTCTGAAAGTCACACTGAAAATCCCATTTCCAAATCCATGGAATTCCAAAACGTATGACAAAATGGGCTGTAGATTTGGATATTGAAATATCCTTATATACTGGAATATGGCTATAAGCAACTTGCCATTCATTGAAAGCAAAACGAATGGGTTCTGGAAATACATCTAGCTGTAATCCAAATTTATCCCACCAAACGAGAAACCAATTTGGGAGATCGTTTTTGAGGACTTCAGGAAGAACACGAAGAAATCAGGAATGGTTCCGCGGGGGATTCATATAATAAAATGCTTGGGAAAAAGCATCAATATAATCCCAATAGCTGTAACAGGATTCTTTATTGCGAATCTCCAGAGATCTGGTAACATGGGGATGCATACCCCAAGCCTGCATAGGCAAGATTTTTTGGATGGTTGCTTTGCTGTAATTAATAGGGCTAGCAGTACGGTTGGGTTCAGCCAACATATGCTTAAACTCTACTGAAGTAGCTTCTGTAAGGATTTGTTCAAAAATATATCTGTATTGATCAAAATGCGGTGGAGCATGCTGAGTAGTGAGATACCGCTTTTTGATTTCCCATGGATCATTCATCCATTAGATATCTTCTGTATTAATATAGAGGACTGTTTCCTCAATGATGGAGTTCTGGAAGTAAGATTCTGGAGGTGTTAGGAGGACATCCTTAGCCGTTTGGCTAGATTCCCCTTTTTTACTGGAAAGAGGATTAAGCCCTGGAAATTCTGTATGGTAGGGATTACCCCTTCCGTGGCCCCTTCTTCCTGGGCCTCGGCCTCTATTGGACATTGTTTGGACCCTGCAAATATTCACGGGTTAGAAAGTCGAGAAGAGAATTATTCTCACCTTTGATATATTCAATATCAAAATCAAATACTGAAAGTTGGCCTTGCCATGCTGCAAAAATTTATTTTTGAGCTAAATTTTGGACATCTTTTTTAAAAATTTGTTTTGCTGCAGAACAATCAACTCTTATTAAAAAATGTTGATTTAATAAATCATCCTGGAATTTTAAGACACATTTAATAATGGCTAAACATTCTTGTTTAATAGTCGGATAATTTTTAACAGCTTGATGCCAAATACCAGAAGTAAACCGTAAAAGTTCTTCTTTTTTACTGTTGGGATTAAATTGTTTTAGTATGCCACCATAACCAAGGTTAGAAGCATCAGTTTCAACAATTTTTTTTCCATTCTGGATTTGGTAAAGAGAGGCAAGGTAGAGTTTTAACTCTAGCTTTGATCTTCTGAACTTCTTCTGTATGTTCTGAACCCCAAGGTCGAGGATTTTTTCTGAGTCTGGAATATAAAATAGTTGTATCTGTAGCTAGATTAGGATAGTAATCATGAATATAATTTAAACTACCCAAAAATCTCTGTAATTGAGTTTTATCTTTAATTTCATCTGGAAATTTCGATGTAAACTCCATGCTTCTGTTAATTGGAATAATGGTACCATTATGAATATTATGGCCCAAAAATCTGACTGTAGTTTGGAAAAGTTTTGTTTTTGATGCAGAAACTACCAATCCATTTATGATAATGACATGCTTAAATATATTAAGATGTTTCATATGCAGGTCGATAGACGATGAAAAAATAAGGACATCATCGATATAACAAATTGCAAATTCTGTATAAGGATTAAAAATATCATTCATAATGTGCTAGAATTCTGACGGAGCATTTTTTAATCCAAATGGCATAACATTCCATTCAAAATGCCTAAAGGGTACTGTAGAAGCAGTTTTATACATGTCTTTCTCGGCAACTTGTACCTGCCAATATCCTGATTTCATTTCAAATTTTGAAAATATGATAGCATCCTATAGACGATCTAAAAGATCTTTTTTATTTGGAACTGGATACCTAATCCATTGTAAGGCATCATTTAGAGGTTTGTAATTGATTACCAATCTTGGCACACCGCGTTCAATTTCTGCATTTTTGTTCACATAAAATGTTGTACAACTCCAGGGAGATTTACTGGATCGAATAAGCTTTTTCTGGAGAAGAGTACTAATCTCTATTTTACCGAGTTCTAAATACTCTTTTTTCATCTGACTTGGACGAGCTCTGGTTGGAATTTTACGCTCATCATATCCTGGTTCATAAGGAAGAGAAACTATGTGTTTCTTCCTATCCCAAAAAGCTTCCGGAATATCACTGTAGATTTCATCTTGAAATTCTTGTTCAAGTGATTTGATCTTTTGCAGGAAAGAAGAATGTTGTAATCTTTGTTCTGTAGTGAGAAAACTAATTTCTTTTTGTAAGAAATTAATTCGTTTTCCCTTGAAATCAACTAGATCTTTGATTTGATCTAGTTCTTTGGTGTAAGGTTCTGTAATAAACTCAAAAACAATCGGCTGATTATTTAGAGTTGTATGAATGCCAATGGAGTCAATTTTGGTTATTGGCATTAATAAACACAGGAATGGTGTCCCTAAGATTATGGCTTGAGACATATTTTTTATCAGGACAAAAGATGTGGGTAAAGACAATCCTTGATTACAAATGAGCACTTTTGGAAGTTTGTACCTAATGTACAAAGAATTACCACTTGCACTGGTATATGATTGATTTGTTTTCTGGAAGTATTTGGTAGGAATTAATCCTTCCTGAATACAATTCATATCAGCACCACTGTCAACAAGGGCAATGGCATCTTTTATTATAAAATCTGGTTTTATAATAAAAGTGATTCTGATATACCATTTCTGGAAGGTAGCTTTGTTAATTAGATTCAAATATGCTAAAGATGCATCTTGAGTAGTACTGGATTCAGTTACTTCCAATTTTTCTTGGGATTTGGAACTAACTTGTTCTTTGATTTTTTAAGATCTATATTAATAGCAATATTTGCTGTTTGTAAATGCTTTATTTCAACTTTCAAAGCATTTACTTCCATCTTAAGATCCTGGATTGTTATGGATTTTTCTTCAGAAGTATTTTGGATTCTTTTATATACTTCTTTCATACTGTAATGCTTGGGAGGTAAAACTTCTTCTTTCTTATGCTGTTGATAGCATAATTCAAGAAATTTTAATATCATTTTTGGATCTATGATTTGATCAGCAATGGTTAACATTTG